CGAAATCGGATAATAACCACGCCTACCTCCCATATAACGGTAATTTTCAGAAATACGAAAACTGCTATATTTTAGTAACTACTGAAGATAATTCACTCAAAATGGATACTTACAATAAGTTTCAGACGGAAAACATAAATATTATAAATTTTTGGAAAATGGGCGTAGCCACGCCCACTTATGGTTACATGTGTATATCTTGGTAACCGCTGCACCAATTTCTTCCAAACTTGGCACAGTTGTTGGCCTTAGTACAGCATACTAAATGGCTGAAAATTTTAAAAATCGGACAATAACCACGCCTACCTCCCATATAACGGTAATTTTCAGAAAAACGAAAACTGCGATATTTTAGTAACTACTGAAGATAATTCACTCAAAATTGATATTTGCAATGAGTTTTAGACGAGAAATAAGAATATTACAAAATTTTGGCAAATGGGCGTAGCCACGCCCACTTATGGTTACATGTGTATATCTTGGTAACCGCTACACCAATTTCTTCCAAACTTGGCACAGTTGTGGGTCCTGGTACAGCATACCAACTGGCCGAAAATTTCTATAATCGGACAATAACCACGCCCACATCCCATATAACGGTATTTTCGAGAAATACAAAATCTTCGATAAATCAGTAAATATTGAAGCTAATTTATTCAAAATTGATGATTGCAACAATTCTTTACCAAGAAATACGTTTATGACAAAATTTTGGAAAATGGGCGTAGCACCGCCCACTTGTGATCACATATATGTATCTCGCTAACCGTTCTAGCAATTTGTACCAAGCTCGGTATGGTTATTGTGCTTGCCACATAAAAGCAAACCGTTGAAAATTGTTGAAATCGGACTAAAATTGAGGCCGCTTTTCATATAACGGTAAATTTCAGATATGCTTGAAATTTCAATATTTCGAAATTTAAGGACGCTAATTTACTTAAAATGTATACACCCCGGCTTATCATGTAGCGGTAGCTTTCGGAAAGGTGGAAAACATATATTTAATACTTGCGCCGGGTATTTAATGTTCGGCTCCGCCCGAACTTAGACTTTCTTACTTGTTTATGTTTCTTTTGATATTTTTTTATTTTAAATTTTATTGTTCTAAAAGTATTTTTTTATTTAATTTAATTTTTGAGAGCTAATTTTATTTTTTTTTTTTTTAATTTAATTTTTAGATGTTATTGTTTGAAAAAGAAATTCTTTTTAATTTCAATGGATTTTGTAATTCTATTTTTTAATTATTAATTTTTGGATTTTAAAGAAAAATATTTTTAATAAACTCGTTAAAAAAGATTTTTAATTTAATTTGATTTTTAGGAACTAATTTTATTTAATTTTTTTATTGGATTTTCTTTCAATTCAATTTCAATGAATTTTTTTTAAATTTGTAATTGTGTATTTTGATTATTACTTTTTTTTTTTAATTACATGATTAAGAAAAATATTTTTATTAAATTCATTTTTAGGAACTTATTTTATTTTTTAAATGTTTTCATTTATTTATTAGATTTTATTGTTTAAAGAGAATAATAAGGTTGTTCACACTTGCCTGGTTATCAGGTTATCTGGTTAAAAATTATTATTGAATAGTGTATTTTATTTTTGTAAACTGAATAAAAAACATAACCACTTAACCTGATGACCAGGCAAGCGAGAGCAACCTCAACATTTTCCAAACATTTAATTTAATTGTTGAAATTTCCGCTAGAACAAATTATATGAATATTTTTATTTAATTTTATTTTTATAAAAATGATTTCTTAAAGACAAATGGAATAACGTTACGACCTCCATCTTAGCAGACCTTTCAATTCGTTTTCCGAAAGACAGAAATAAACGTTCAAGTTAGTCGCCAGAATTGGCTATTATCTTACGAAAGAACCATCTTTTGAAAGAATGCAGTGAGTTGATAGGCAATCGCCAAAATTGCCCATTTTAGAAAAAGCATATAAATCTGTTTCCCTAATTAATTTACATAAGTAAGTCCCTCCATAACGAGTCTTCTGAATCTTGTTTTTCAAGAACGGGGAAAGTTTTTAGCAGCTATCTAATCTTTTATGTGAAATCGTAAAAAATTTTATCAATCATCTGTAAAAAGATTTGTTCACGGAATTTGATTACCACTTTTACAAATAAAGCTTTTATTCAAAAATAATTGACTACCAAAAAAAATCGACGGAATACGAATTTTCGACTGTTATTTCCCTGTACTAAAAATATGAAGTAATGAAATTTTTTTTTATTTTACCATTTCTTAGAACGAAAACAATTTTTGAATTATAAAGCAAATGCTTTCATAGTCTTTCTGTTTCGTGTAGTACGATCTGGCATGACTCACAGGCTACTAAAACAAACAAAAAAAAAAAACAGAAATTACTGAGTCAATTCCTAGCCAACTTTGAAACTCGCATTAAAAAATCTCTTTATGAATTAATTCTTTTATTAGAGAACAATAAACCTTTTTGTAAATCTAACATAAAATCAACTTTATGAATTATTCAGCTTACTTCACTGACAGTCGACCAAGTGTTATATTGCTACTAGTTCGATCAACACTAACTGCCACAAATTTTTGTACAAATGTCAAAATGACAAAAGCACAATACTCGTAACAGTTATGACATATGACAACAATGTTGCAATATGCGGGCATAGTTATTAAAAAATGCACAAAACTGTCTGGCAACTGAGAAGCTTCGAGGAAGGCAGTAAAAATTACAAAAACATAGCCACAAAAACAAACACTTACAGCATACTGCGAGTATCTATATGTATCAAGAAGCAAATACTGGCAGACAGTCGATTTTGGCGCGCAGCTGGCCACCAAATCACAACCATAAATGACAAATTGCGACAGCAGCAAACCACCGGATCAATGAATGTACGAATGTACATACATATGTAGGAATGAGCGCATGAATGAGACGGACTGACTGGCTGGCTAAATGGCTGACAGACAAAGCGCAAAGCAGCTGGCATGGCTGCTGGCAAAAGTCTTGCCATTTAAGTGTCAAACAGACAAACAATATGTGGCATGTAAAAAAGAAAAATTGCAAAAAATTAATAAACGAAATACAAAAAGCTG